GCAGACAATAATAATCTAGATAGAATAGTCCTTTCATCTTCAGGACAAGGCAGTGTTGCTGTTCCAGTCTACCACTTTGCAAGGACCATGTAAGGGAAAAAAGAAGAAATCAATCCTGAAAGCATAGGAACATCAACACAGCTAAATTGGGACTGGGAAGTGGACATAGAATACAAAATGGTATGACAATGCAAAGTTTTGAAGCACTAAAAGCAGAATGGCCATATTGCTTCACTTCTCATGCCCCTCCCAGACTTCTACTGCAGTGCTCACTAAGGGAACTTCCAAGCTAGGAAGGTCCAGTCAAGGCCATGGTAAATCCTCTCCAGACTGCTTGTTTGGTTGAGGGAAGCCAATTTCATGGAAGAGTTCTTTTTATGCCTCTGGGTTCCCCCAACCTGTCTCAGTTGATGAGCCAGTAGAGAGAAAGGAGAAGTCTTTTCATGCTGCTGGCTACCTGGGAAAAGACCTTGAGACCTTCTTCAAGAAACGCTATGGAAGAAGACTGAAAGGAGCCTTCTCCCACAGCACTATGAGAAGTATTTTCAGGCTGGGTTGCACTGAAGGCCCAGCCTCTAACTCTTGGCAGGCACTAAACATGTTCAAGCTGAGCAGCTTCAGTGAGAGCTGGGTATACTCCCAAAGCAACCCAGCCTGAAAGCACTTTGTTCAGACAACATTGGGCAAGAAGGCAGAGAACAGCCTTCTCATGCAGCAATGGCCCAAATTAATTAAGGTGAATTGGGTAGCTTCTTTACTATGGCAAAGTGAATCAGGACACCAGCATGGCTTGAATCATGTTGTCAAGCGAATCTTTATCACTTTGCACAGGCTTACTGAATTTCACTTGGACAAGAGTGAAAACAAGGAGGAGAGGTGAAATGGTGTTATTACAGTTGATAGAAAGTTTGGCTGAACAGTTATTCTGTACACACGTCAACATTTTGCTAAAAGTTCTATTTATAAGAATGAATTCAGAAGATTCACAGCACTGAATTATGCAAGGAAAAACCCTCAGTGATGGCTCTGTGGAAAAGCATAGTACAAGCCCTGGGTGTGAATTCAGAATGAAGAGATGATACTTTATATACAGATGTATGCCTTTCTGCTGTAATATGTATACCAGGCATGCCGTTATTAAAGCTATTTCAGGCATTTGTCATATTTACAGAATAAAGTACAAAGGATTGCTGTTATGCTATTCAATTTTTCTTCTTCTCAAAGTACAGCACTTGGAATTCAGTAATGTTACAAGGCCTGATTTGTACAGAACTTTATTCTTTACAAATGGTGGGGCAATGACTGACAACTTTGCAGATTGTAGTTAGATATAAGCTTCCATGGAAACTAAAAGATTGTGGTTTGTTGGGGGGAGAGAATAGTACTGCTTTCTGGACCTGAGTTCTAGTTCATTTGTGCCAGATTTTGGTGGTAAATGTGCATAGGAACATGATGCTCACCAGAGATGGTTTGTTTCCTTCCTATAGGACAATAAATCATCCTCTGCTTTTCTCTATCATAATGATACCTTCTATCATAAAATGCTGTAACCAAACAGGATTCTTGCCTTCCATAAGTCTGAAAATGTTCACCTGATGACCATTTAGAGAGAAAACTAGAAGAGAATTCTAATATTTTGAGAAGGAAACCATATAGTACCCAGTAATTATGGTAGAAGAAACACTAGTCAGCTGTTACAACAAAAATAATGTGTGTGTGTGTGTATGTATAGTCCTCTGACACTAGGAGAATAAAATCAAGTGGGGATGGAGAGACCCATAGTACTCTCTCCCAATTTGAAATGGGCCCAACTAAACCAGATTAATATGGATTTTTGCCTGTTTTCCTCCCACATAACTAAACTAATTTTAAAATTCTGCCAAGTACTAATCAATTTGGTACTCTCAAGTTTCTCTGCTTGGTTCTCTCCAGCTATGGTTAATTTACAGCAAGAAAAATCTGTCTGACTTGAACATAACCTATACATAATAAAAAGTATACAAAAACAGAAGAATTATAATAAAGAAAATGTGTTCTAACTTGTCCTTTCACTATGCAATCCTATACATGTCTGCTCACAGACATGTATAGTCTTGCTGAGTTCAGTGGAGTTTATTCCATTATATCAATATGGAGAACTGAAGTTTTAACCAGATGTTTTCCAGTGGGGAAAGCTGACATATTCCCCTCCCAAGAGTTTTAACATTTATATAAATGCCATTAGATAGCTCTCACTTTTAAATAAACTGATTTTAGGAGTAAAAACAGATGTTTTTTTCTCAGTGTGATATTCCTTTCTCATGATAGATCAGCTTTCTAGCAACAATGCTTATAAGTATGCAGTACCTATTAACAATTAGTAATAAGGAAATGTGGGAGCTTGAACACAAAAATCAAACTGGACTTTGGGAGATCTGCTTAGTATGTAGCAAATGTAACATTGGATTTTTCTTCCAATATACAGCCTCATTCTTAATCCAACAATACCAAAACATTAAAGGTTAAGAGTAAAACATACTAAAGGCATACTGGATAGTACTGGTCACATTATGTTGTGCTCATTTCACAATCAAATAAGGATCTTTTTATTCACTACCACATAAAGCCTTTTTTTTGTCCCTCTGGTTTAAAGTGCTTTTTACTGCCTTCCCTTACCGATGGTTTACATTTAGTTTTATTTGTCTGGCTTTTGATATCTTTCAGACTTTATGCTATCATCTTTTTGTTCTTTTTATTATTTATCTTGCATGGTTTATAGCCCGCTCAACATAAATGCCTTGAAGCAGGTTATAGCAGATTACAATTACAAACTCAACAATAGAAAAAAATCAACATTCTAAAAATACAAGAAGAATAACAAATAAAAATTTCTCCAACGATGGACACCAATAAACCTTAGCTAGGGTTGAAGGTTCAGTGAAATAAAACTCTCTTGAAAAATCTTCTACAAATGACAAAGGGGAGAACTTTACATTCCATTACATGGAGATAAAGAGTTCCAAAGTGTGGCGACCACTGTAGAGAAGGCTTATTGTCCTGTTTATGTCCTGCTCACTTCATAGCAAAGAGAGACTCTTGGAGCTTCCTGAGATGTTCTCACCAGACAGGCAGATTCAATTCTGGCAAGGCAATGCTTGAGGTTACCAAGTACCCCCCTGTATAGTCTTCATAGGTCATTACCAACCTATTAATAAACAGCGCAGTGACTTAATAAAAGAGTTAATCCTGCCATGGCAGAATTGA